AACAACTGATACCCGTGCACACAGGTAACACAACTAAGAACAAGACGTACATGATGGCTGTTAATGTACAATAGAAACTTACTAAAGAAGCAAATCATGACAAATGAATTCATTTTGATGGTTTTTTCCACAGAAGTGACTGCTCTGTTAGGGTGACGCGATTTTTATATTTGGTGGTAGCTATTGATCTTGTGGTCAAAACAGTGTGGTAATGGAGAAAAAAAGAGTAGAAGTAAAAAGAAACTTTGAAGAATAGGAAAAGCGCATATGCGAATTTTGTTGAAGGTGTGTGAAGAATTCTTTTTCATTCTATGACTTTTTCTTTCAATAAATAGTTATAATGATTTTCACTAGGAATTAATGACAATCTGCTGAAAGCGAGGGCTGCACGCATCTTCCCTCCTGCGCATTCATGGTCAGAAGAAATTGTAAAATAAAAAATAGTCCATTTTCGTTGAAAAGATGTTTTGCAGACGAGGTGTGTCTCATTTTCCAACATCGCCTAAGGGATTCAGAAGCGAAAATGAATCACGGTCAAATATGATCTTTTTGTATATATAAAGTTGTATTGCACTTGCTGAGTTCAGTAGCAAATGAATTGGTTAGTATTTGAGTTGGTAGGATATGGCTGTGAGTGTCGACGTCAGTGTGTAGAAGAAAGCATCTGCACCCACACCCTTGTGTCCTTTTACGAAACTTTTAATAAACCTTTTAATGTTTAGTATGGGTTTCTGTGAGATGTTAATCCCACTTCTACTTTATTTGTACAACTGTATCTCTTAGGACAGAATCATCCTTTTCATAACAACGAAACGATATACATAGGGTGATAACAAGGGTTGGAAAATTCCTACATACGATGAACAAGGAAAAATCCATATGTAGAACACAAAAGAAAGGAGAATAGAACGAAATGGAAAATTTCAACATATATAGAAGGAAAGGAAAAATCCATTGTGCATGACTAACAAAAAAAGACAAGAAGACGAACATAAGTGCATAGGTATAATCCTATAGAAAAGAGGGAAAATCTTTATGATTGCATCTGAAGAAGATGTAGATCATAAAAATCTTCTATAGATTCTTGAAGGTTATATGAGTCTAAGATTTGATGGAATCAAAGGCATATGAAAATAAAGAGTGTGTCACTATTACAAAAAGGATTTATTACAATGGCATCGAGACATGTCCGGATTCCATGAGTTCTGAATTTATGAGGATTTCGAAACTCAAACATTCATCAAAAATGAACAGTAATCAAGCATAGCTAAATAGAACTCAAGAAACTTATATAACTATCAAAATTCTTGAACCCTAAGAACTGAAATAATTCAAAGAACTCTCAAAATGCACAAATTTCGAGATACCGCAGGAAGGTGAGGGCATATAGTGCAGGTTTTGGGATGACATTGTGTATGTGTCTGTACGTATCTGATGTGATCCTTCTCTTCACCTATTGAACCAGTCACGCTCATAGTTAGGCCTAAATTCACCCATATCGTCTTTTTTTTATGAAAATCAATGGTCAACTGCGGTTAACTCACTTTTTTTTTAGTTGCTATTAGTAATTATAATTTATAAAAGCTGTTAACGCAATCCCTTAGGGGATTGAAATGTGAAACACGACAAAACTGTTAGTTCTTATCAGATAAAGTATTGTTCTATCGATTTCTGGATTCTTTCTTTCATTATACTTTAATGCATCAGCTACAAATGCAAAACCGAAACAGCTCAAAGGTTTTATAGAGATTGTAGCCCTATACGATCCTTGCTTGTACGCCAATACGATTCATGACAGTCTACAACAACGTCCAGAGGTGTCTATCGAGCTGTATCGTAGTCACAGCTCCACCTTTATATCCTCCCTGCATTTCTAATACCGTTTGTGATTGATTCAAACCTGGTCTCTCAGGGTCTGGAAAGGGTAATTAATTAATTAGACTGTAGTTAGTTAATTAATTAATTAATTAAAATGTCTTCAAAAGCAATTCAAATCCCTATTCTTAACACTTTAGCTCGTCTTCATCTGACTGCAATGGTGGATGACGGTGGAATCGTCTGTCGGTAACGGTCTGTGATGGGGGAATCACCTGTCGGTAACGATCTGTGATGGGAGAATTACCTGTTGGTAACGGCCTGTGATGGGGGAATCATCTGTCGGTAACGGTCTGTGACGGGTGACTCACCTGTCGGTAACGGTCTGTGTGGGGGGGGGGGGGGTCAAATTTCTACCCCTAAACACTTCAACACTCCTTTCAGATCGTGTTTCACAAAAAATAATTAATCGTAAACACATTCATAATACCGAAACTGTACCAGTTACCACAAAAATGATTCATTAGATGTTTTCGTTCGATGTACGCACCACTTTTGTAATTAACAGATATTATATTAAGTGCGTAAAATAGAGATCGATACTATTTTTTCATTATATGCCTAAGTTGTTGATGTGCCTATTTATCCTATCTACTATTTTCGCTTACAGATATATGTTGTAAAATTCACCATGCATAAGTATCAGATAGTCTACATTTTATTGAATCTTTTTGTTGCATTTAAATTCAGCCCAGTCAAGGTCTTAGAAGTATTCTTTGAACTATTGAGAAAATTGTACATTGATTTAGCTTTTCTGGATTCGGTATAAGCCATTAATATCAAGTTGTAGTTTGATTTTTCAATGTGTCTTTTATAGATATGCACCAACAGATATTCATTCAAATCCTGTGATGAATCGTCATAAATGATACTCAAAGGGTTAAATGAATTTATTTATTTTTACTTATGTTTGGCTCAAGAGCTTGTCCAAATGTAAATATCAGTAAACAAGAAATAAAATTATGTATACATTTATAAAATTGCATACAGTATACCAAAAGAGTGTGACACGACATTTGCGCGCGTGGCATTTGCGCGCATGACTCTTACGCGCGCAACACTTCCGCGCAAAATAATTTTTCTTTTATCTGTTGTAACTTGCTAGTTCTTTCGAGCTTCATGAATAACGGTTTATGACAGGTTTGGGTGCGGCTGTGGCTGTGAGTGCGTCTGTGTGGTGTGCGCTGGTTTGTTCACGCGTTTGTGATGATGGATACCCACACATACACCCATATCCACACCCCATGATTCTGGTTTTTCGAAAACCTGTCATAAACCGTTATTCACGAAGTTCGAAAGAACGAGCAACTTCTCACAGACAAAACAAAAAAAATTATTTTGCGCGCAAGCGTCGCGTACGAAAATGTCGTGGAACCTCAACATCAACAACCATTGAAAAAAACTTGTTAGCGCAACTCCTTTGAGACTAAAATATGGAGCTTACATGTATTGTTTAGCTTCATTATACTAATACTAAATATAAAAAGTGAAAAATCGCTAACAGGCGATAGTTATTTTCCAACGACAATCAATCGTTAGAAACTCTCCGTCTTATTTCTTTCTGCGTTTTAAACTATTTTGACTGAAGCTCTTTTTTAAGTTTTTCATGATTAATTATTAGTCAATTTACTATTCAGTATGTACGTGACTAATCTTATCACTCACACGCACTTACATACGCAGGTCTTCGCCAGTCCACACTTTCGCATTCATACCATTTAGAACCCTACACCATCATCTGTTAAACTCATTTGGCGTCTGTAAATTTATTTTACTATTTATGTCAACAAAGGTTGTTTTTTATTATAAAAATAATGGTCTTATTGTTTTCGTTCTTCATAGATTTGAAATAGATAAATGTTTGATGGTACCCCCACAGCGCTATTTATACACAAAAAGGCTGATTCACCTATATTATATGATGAAACGCAAGGTTTTTGTGATTCATTTATTCTTACATTGTTTTTTTGTATATTGACATAATCGAAAAAATATGCCATAGAAATGCATGAATTGATTATTCATTCGAAGAACACAAGTCATGGGTGATGACGGTCTGTAGACTGTTTGTGTTGTTTCGTATTTTGTGTCTGACTGATTTTTATTATCATTTACTGAATCAACTACATCGACTGATCGTATTGTTACGGTAACGGACCCGGAGATATTGAGAGAACTAGAGCATTATCGTCAGCAAAATACTGAACTCATGAAACAATATGCTTTACTTCTCGCACAATTCGAAAGACAAAAGAATTCGTTCGTTTGATGATTTTTATCGGACCGATCAGAAAGCAGCTGGTTCACTTATTCGACTAGCTACAAATACAGTACGACTCCATCTCGGAGAAAAAAGCACTATGATTAATAAATTACTCAGTCGAGACATTGATGTAACTGGTACAACTCGATAAACTCCATGAAAGACTTAATTATTTTTTATTTCGAATGTCATTGAGACAAATAAATTAGTATACCAACTGAAATAGTTGAGGAATGAAAGAAATAGTTCTTTTTTGTTCTATGCAATACTTTATGAGATTAGATTTTCAAGGACGTAAAATCTCATTGTATTTGAATATCATATCAAATATTATTATCTTAATCCTCAACTAGGCTCGATGCATACTCGAGAGATACGCATGGATCAAGTAAATGTGACCAACTTATCATCGATCGTTGACTCCTTGTAAGAGAACTATCAAAATATTTATCTTTATTGTGATGATTTTGGTTGATTATTTGCCGTGTACTTCAACAGATATATGAGTCATTAGTTGATAGACGCTTCACGAAAGATAAATAGTTGGGGCAATAGAACGCACAGGTACTTACTATTCTGGTTGCATATTTTGACGAAGACAGAATTATTTCTTATTTCTATTCATACGTTGACAAAAGCGACACAAATGACTGAACTACTACAGCTATTCTTCATGTTGAATTTGTGTTCAATAACTTTAGCTTGGTATTTGTGTCCATTCAATGATGGTTCGTTTAATAAAACGATAGAAAACAACGTAACTATTCAAGCTGAATGTATGTATTTGACTAGTCCACTCAAATGGAATGAATTTAATCCAAATACTTTCGATGGCTTCTACTACAATTTAACAAAGTCCATTCCATTGACTGATCTACATATGAAACGTTTATTTTTTTCTAATTTTCCACCACGAAATGCTTCTACTGTCAAACATATCATTAATTCTTGGCTTGTAAACGGTGGTGGCGGCTCTCAATACGGCATGGAAACATTTGGTGTATCAATGTTATGACAAATTGTTCAAAACAAGTACCATCAAACATATCCTCATACACATCCAATAATATATCTATTCCAATATAGAGGAGCAGGTTTGAGTAAACCGTCGATTCATTGTTATACGGCAACAACATGGATTGATTGTGCCAGAGAATTAATTCAAACAACTGTAACCACTTCTGTAAATGAAGCGTTGGCAATAATCAACGCTATGACAAATCAAAATATCGCACAAGATTTACAATATCAAGTTCAATATGCAATCAATCAATCACAACCAATATCTCCCATATCGACTTATATCTATGGATTAAGTCAAGGTATAAAATGATAGTCGATGAAATGTTGTGTCTTGAGAGACAAACTGTATGACAGAACTTCCCAATAAACATAATAGAAGGCTTGAGAAGCAGTTGCATTGTAATATTTCGACAATATCATATTATTCGTGGTTGAAATTTGGAGAATAGATAATCAGTGGACAACACTGATGTTAGGAATGAATCGATACATATAACATTTTCATTTATTTTAAGTATCACAGTGGCTCAAAATATAGACCTTTCCTTACAGCTAATAAACTGAAGTTACTGGAATTTATAGCATAGACTTAAAATGAGCATTTAGTACCTTTATGAATTGCATGTCTTATTCGTCGAATGAAATTTACATAGTTGCTTTATTTTCTGTTTATTTCCATGAAAGTTCATCTCCTAAATAGTGCTCGATACATCTTAGGCTATCGGATCTTTTCAGAGAAATAATCTGATTAACTAAAACATCATCAAATTTTATAGATTTGTTCAAATGTTTGAGTAATCATTGAATATGTTTTTCAAAAATAGTCCATTGCATCATTCTACTAAGTCATCAAAATTTCAACAATCAAATTTTATTTCTCTTCGATTTCCTGGAACACTGTAAAACCATTCTATTGTGATCAAACATACATTAACTATAAAAACGGAATGGTTTCCAATAAATTTTCCTAATATAGATGAACTCTTTTTCATACGTTCAGAAAAAAAAATTTTGATTCATTGCTAGTGTGCGTTCGATGTTTTGTGTTATTTTGTACTGTAGACTTGTATCATTGTTGATGATTCATATTTCTTTTCAAATAAGGTACAGCTATTATTCAATACTATCTATCAATTCAATCGATTCATTCTCGATTACAACCAATTAACGGAGTAATTCTCGACGGGATAATGTCTATAAAAAAGTCGGATGCCTTTCAAAATCAAATGAAATCAATCAACAATCGATTCTATTTGTATTTATCCA